ACATTAACTAAAAAGTTAAAACTCCAAACATTTACGATAAGTCGCAAAATAACTTCTGACCTTCCGCGCAACTTGTCACAAACTGTCAATCAAAAAATTAAAGAAAGTTCACTTTCTTCCTACCGTTGTATAAATTATAAACAAACTAGTATTACCCTATTTCTCTCGGACGGCACGTAAAATAAATACTCACACTCTTAAAATAAATAATTCAAAAATAAACTCTTTTTTAAGTTACTTAGAGTTCAAATTGTATGACATGACCATCGCTCGCAATCTATGACGTTGTTTTCAACGTAAGTTTTTTGATTTGCTTAGTTCGTTGCGTTAACGAGACGCACGAGTTAAATTCGTAAACGCCGTTGACGAATTCGACTAGTTGATTCATAAACGGTAAACGTTAATACGTTGACAGGAGATCAACGGTTGATTCAACTAGTTCGTTGATTCAACGTCATTTAGTCTTAGTGACATGGTCAAAAAGTCAAGACGCATTCGTTTCATATATTTAAAAAATATTTTAAAGAAAATATGCCCGGTTGTGCATTAAGATATTGTAAGTCACGATATGGAGCAAAAAATGAACGTGATATCGGTTTACTATCGTAAATATAACATATATTTACCGAATAATCTTTAAATTTTATTATTTCTAGTAGATTGTTCTAGAAAATTTATTTTTATTGTAATAAGCGCCCTCTGTTATCCAGTAATCGTCACTATTTAGTTACCGATTTTAATTATAAAACAATCATGTATATTTCCTATTATTATATCGAAAAGCATTTCAAACTTAGTAATCTTCAACAACATTATAGATACTTTGATATCGAAACAGTAACATTCCTAAAACGAGGTTATATTTATTAGCGTCACCTACTGGATAATAGCTAATATGTTGTCTTAATAAATGCTTAGCGTTGTTTTGCTATTTTTAGCTAGAGGGTGCCACACGCGCACTAGCTCAAAGTTTTTGTATATAAATCTTCCCAATGTCCGCTCTATAGTATACCTATATATTGAAATCTCTTTGATTATAAACAAGGAACTCGCCAACCCTATTGAATTTTATTGTTTATTAAAACATGTTGCTAATTACGATATTAAGAATAGAAAGAATTTTTTAAGCACCCATATAATCAAATAGTTTTTTTTTTAAATATTAACTATAATTCACTTACTTGTGAAATGTTATTCCACTTTTCTTTTAGTAACGAGTTTTACAAATTACGCACACTCTAATTATTACTAAAAATAACTCTTGTACATAACTAAAATTAAACATAATCAAAATACACAAAATACTTTGATTTTTCATTTAAAAGTTTAAAATACAGAGATACGATTTAAGCAACACAACAGACTTTGGTATAGATAATACGCTACATACCAGGGATTTTGGCGTATTATGTCAATATTAGTTTCCGTAAGTTAGTTAGTCACGAATGGCAGCAGGCACACATGGCAGCGCTTCAAATTTCCACAAAAAATTTGTAGGGTATGTCCAGCGTACTGGTAAGTATTTATGGAGGTCAGTGACCATGTCTTGATTTGTTCCACTATAAAGCAGTATGAAGTGACAATAATGATATAAACGTGGAAGTTAAATATGAGTAAACACATCTACGGACTTATAGAACTTCGGTTTTGTAGTGCCAAGGAGGTTATAATATAATATAGGGAGTGAGCGCTTAGAACAGTGTAACCGTTCCTCATTTTTCTTAGAAAGAGAGGCAACGAGTTTGGTATTTTATCTCCTTCTAACATTGATAAATGTTTACAAAAAATAAAAACATTACCAACGTTAAGACAGTTATTGACTTAAAGTAATATTTTAGACGTATGCTAGAACGATAATCTTACATTTTTTATCGCTAATTATAGGTGGTATATTCCATATTGTATTTAATTAAGCTTATTATTAAGTAACACGAAAAAAAAACCACTAAAACACTTTAATGTATGAAATTTATGACTCCAAATGTCAAACAATTAAATTCTAATGTAATTTTAAATGGAGAGGAACTGACTCTTGTAGATACCACCATTTTTCTTGGAATCACATTAGATGCCAAGCTTCAATCGAGCCCCCATATATCAAAATTAGCAAGCAGCCTTGGCTCTGGAGCATATGATGTAAAAAAGTTTAAAAGTCTTACCAGTGTTGAAACAGCTAGACTAGTTTACTTTAGCTATTTCCATAGCATAATATCGTATGATATTTTGCTATTGTTTTACGGAAGAGAGCAATTAGAGCAATTTATGATTTAAAGCCTAAAGAGTTTCTGCGACAAAAATTTAAGGAAATTAATATATTAACTTTGGCATCTCAATACATTTATGAACATGTAATGTAAGTACAGAAAAATAAAAGTAGTTTTACAAAAATAAGTGATATTCATTCTATAAATACTAGGAACAGACACAAGCTAGTAGTACCAGTTACTCGACTCCATCGAGTCAGTAATTCATTCTTGGGGCGATGTATACGCTTTTACAACAAAATTCCAGAAAATATACAAATTTTGACCTGCTCAATGTAAAAAAAAACTTTAATAAACTAAGTTTGTATAAAAATGGTTATTATAATATTAAAGAATTTAAGGATGATAATAACCCCTGGAAATGAGGTGATCGCAACCAAGCTATTTCTAGTTTGTTGTGTTGTTAATTTTGTGTAACATACATGATTGTAAGCTGTTATTTAAAAAATCTCTGGTTCTTCTCGTTCTTTCAAGGACAGAGATTTTTTTCCGAACCAGTGGTAATTAAACAAAAGAGTGACTTTCAATAAGTATTATATATAATCTATAGTGAATAAAAATGTTTCTGTTTCTGTTACACGAATGTTCTTTCCTTAAAAACTAGGAGGTGCATTTTACGCTATAGATGACAGCACTATTTTAAAATTTGACGTTGTCAAATGAATGAATATATTGTTTTTTTTTAATTAGAATAGGGTGACAAACGAGCAAACAGTCCACCGGGTGGTAAGTGGTTGCTGCGGCCCTTAGACATCTACATCTATCCTAGTTTGCGAATCAAAATGCAGATGCGTTGTCACCCGTGAGGACTAAGATGGAATGCCTCTTTTCCAGTAAAAAGATTCTCCGGTTCTCTACACTCACCATACGAAATACATCAATGTTGAGCTGCTATTTTACGCTGGTATTCTGTGAGTGCGTGGTTCTTCCCCGGTCGAGTCAACCCATTTGTGCTACAACTATACTATTTATATAGCTGCAGCATGGCTCTACCACGTAGAAAACGCCTTGTGCTAATAATGCGCTAAATCTATGTGGAGTACACTCACTTAGGGAGCGTTTCGGAACAGTAGAAAGAGTTTAGAGGTCCTTTTCATCATCCACACGTCAATCGGAAACTTTAATAAAAAGTGTAGGCGTATCTGTCAAAACACTCTCAGAGACAAAATGAGTTGCTCATCATGACGCTGTTAAACCATTACAGAATAATTTAAAAAAACTAGTATAAACACTCGAAGATATATATGATCCCATCACCAACAGAGAAAACGTCTGTACAAAAGAAGTAGATAGTATCTACACTCTTACCAGCCTTGTGTGACTTCAGTTTTTTATGCTGTCTTTCCTGTTGGTGTAAAATCGTAATATAAGTTAGTTAGACACAAAAGCAAATACTAAATAATATAATAATAATCTAATCTAGATTAGACTGGTAAAGTATGAGATAAAAATCAAAGCCCAAAAATTTTTCTTCAAATCCAACGTATTCAACTAGTGGAAAAAGTTATATTCTACGTAACAAAAAATATGAGAATGTGGACATTTCGATTGAAGGAAGAAGAGAAATGAGGAGATATCGAAAACGTTTACCAGGAGAAATGACCCGATATGCTGGACTAATATTGCCAGAGCTGTAGAGAGCTGTGTTAGAATGTCTTGACATATTTTACGAGCAACTAGACCGTCACTACAGAGCAATGGATGATATTCTCGTAACATTTAGTGTTGTTCAGCCTTACACTCTGCTAACGTCACCAGATGAAGATCTTCGTATAATAGTTCAAAATCTGACAAAAATCTTCGATGAATTTTCTGCAGTATATTTAATTTTGGCGGTTCAATGTAATTCATTGGAGCTTTTCTCATAAATTTAGGCTATTCTGAATCTGTTCCGAATCTAGCGCTGTGTCTAAGATTTTTTTACTATTAAGTTTCATATGAAGGAAGCTTTTCAAAACTCAAGTTAATAAAATCTTACTTAAGGTCCACAATGAGCCAAGTGCGACTAACCAATCTTTCCATTTTGTCTATCGAAAATGACAAGAAAGTAAACTTTGATTATATATTAGAACACTTTAGCAAAATAAAGTCCCGTTAGCATGTATAGCATTTTTTGTGTTATTTTGGGGAGTGCTTGATAGAAAACCGCCCTGGGTGTCAACCCACGCTACGCCGCCACTAGTTACCCTAAGGTTTGATACTGTAGCGAAGTAATAATGTAATCAAAATATAAGCGGAGTTTAATTATAACACTTTTCAGCACTTTCCATATGGAAAAAAATACGCATTTCGTTTGCCGTGATGCTGTATACACTAATAATATTCTCAAAATATTGTATCATGGACACTTTATTAGAAAGAAATGCAACGCCTAACTGGGTGCATTTCATTCATTTCAAGATCACGGATTTAGGAACGTTTCTCTAGTATGAAGTGCGCACCATAGATAAATATATATGTAGCAAGCTAGTGCGCACTCCCTATATTTTACAACCTCCTTGTTTAGTGCTGAAAGGGTTTTTTGGTCTGGCAGCCCTGGTGACAATTGTGACAAGTGGCAACATTATTTTGTTGTTATCAAAAATGTCAAAAATAAGATAGGTAGTGATTGTGATTATGATTGAAATTCTAAAAAGTTCGAGAGTTTGAGTGCTAAACTATTTGATTCGCTATTACGACTGAAGTAGACTGTCCTATTTAAACGAAGGAACGAATTAAACAGAATTAAATTTGAAAATGTCGCTTAATACTGCTCATGCTGATCACGGCGTTTTAATACATGCTGGGGAATGGTGAGTCATAATGTTATAGCTTAAGTATTATGTTAATCTAACATTGTACCCAGTTAGTACTAATTATAATTAAATTATATTTGATTTAATTACATATGTACTTCTAATCATTCTAAATAAGTGAAATATCGATATAAAATTATGTCAAATTTCGATGTGTCGTAACTTTTTTAAATATTCGTACCCTATGATATAAACATTAAATGTTGGCTAATACATCATTACTCTACATCTATTTAAATTTTAGTTATTCAAGTACATATTGCAAATAAATGTGATGATAATGTGTGGCTCATGTGGACAATATTTATGCAATTAGATTGCAGGAGAATCACAATACAATAATTCAAAAAAAGCATGGGTGTTGTGCATGTTTTCTTCAGCTTGAAGATTGGTCCAATTGTGCAATACCTACAATTGATGTGCAGGATAGATCTTATTTTCAATAGTTTAATCCCTATTATATTGTTTAATTTGTGGTGGTTATGATGTGACAGATGTGTTTTATGTTCATTCATACTTACATAATGTTTACAAATTTATTGATATTTAAGACAAATATTGTAAAATTGTCCTATGGAGTGTACATTATGTTCTGTTGATTGTGTATCAGTTACTATTTTTATATTGTATGTATGTAATGTATTTTTGGGCTTAGCTTTCCATTGACGTCAGTGGAGTTTGGTGTTGATACATATTTTTACAGAAAGATTACACTATTATAAGCACACATGCTTATAATAGTGTAATCTTTCTGTAAAAATATGTATCAACACCAAACTCTACTGACGTCAATGGAAAGTCGTACCTATTTTTGTGATCATTCTAAGGCTTTGGAAAAAAAAACATATATAAATTACTTATTACTTTATAGGATATTTTTTGTAGTATCTTAGATGATGCATCCTATGGGCATTTTTTTTTTATAAAACTGAAGTGGCCAACAAACTTAGTTGTCTACCTGATGGTTAATGACTACTGCAATCCATAGTCACCTGTAGCCAAATTCAAATAAGGGAGTGTAGTCCTTATCATCTGATGACTAAGATGGAATGCCTCATAGCCTGTAATTAAACTGACTCTCTATACCTTTTAGACTGAAACAAAGCAGTGCAAGCACAACTATTTGGCAGATAAATTGGCACGAAGGTGGTACTTACCCAGATGAACTGGTCAGAAAAGGGAGTCCTATCATCTAGTTTGAGTAATGCCAAATGTATACATAAGGACAGGCATGACCCAACCATTATATGCATTTGTTTTATTCAGACCCAACAAAAGCTGTTAAGCACTTTTGTCAAGTGTGCATAAAAATATCGTGGACTGACTGTTTCATATCCGCCTCATCAATATCTATGTTCTGAGACACCAGGTATATGTTTCAGCCTTGTTAAAGGTCTTTATATTGATTGGGCATAGAAGTACAGCTCAAGGACCCTTTTTAGCCACTAATGAGGCGCCAAGTCAAATGCTTTTCCATACTTTATCTAGGCATTGGAGTAGTTCTGATGGTTGCATATTAATAATCAGTTACAAAGTTGCAACTTTATAATTGATTACATATTATTATTACAATACCGTTATCTATCTGCAGCCATTAAGGTCTTGCTATCATATTCCATAATCACTCAGCACACCTACAGAAAAAATCTCTTAGGCAGCAATGGCAATGTATTTTTATTAACCAATATATAAATCATAATTCTTTTTGTTTCAGTATTATCCTATTTTCTGATAATGTCACTGTAGAATTCTATGGAAATGATACTGCTGAATTTAAGGGTACCAAAAATGGCCGCATGTATCTTACTACTCATCGAATGATTTATAATTCAAAAAATACTTCAGATTCTTTGAGATCTTTCAGTTTTCCCTTCATAGCTTTACAAGATGTAAGTAGTTTCTAATATTTTTTTAAGTATTTACTTTTTACATTGTGGCCCCAACAAATGGAACTATCAAGGACAGTAATGTTTTCTAATAAATGTATGCATTTTGTATGTAACTGCATATAGCTTAAATGCCTTGATGGATTCTGATAAACATATTTGTTAGCTGTTATTTTGTTAGTTAATCATATAGTATTCCAATCATGTTCTTTGTAAGTAATAATAATTTACTTTATTTAAGTGTATATTATGTAATATCATGTATATTTCTTTCTTAGTCATCACAAAATGAGTAAAGTACAGATTTAGTATTAATTTCAGGTGACAGTAGAACAACCCATGTTTTCTGCAAATTACATTAAGGGGAAAGTGGCAGCCCAACCAAATGGTAACTTTATTGGGGAAGTTAAATTCAAATTGACTTTTAAATCTGGAGGAGCAATTGAATTTGGTCAGGCTATGCTTAAAGCTGCTCATTTAGGTGAGAATTTCCCAGTTCTTTAATGTATTAATTTTCAAGCATGATTAATATAAGATATTAGGTATCCAATCTGGTAACTTGTTGCTGAGTCAAAGCCATATTTGCCAACTGTGTATAGTAGTATAGTAAAAAAGCATTTGCCCACCCCCACAAACCTACATAGATTGAATGTAAATCTATTGCACCCTAGTCATCTTAGTGTAAATGGGTGCAGTATCCACTATTCTCATCAGGTGTAAAGTGTGCTCATTGGTCACCTTTTTATGAAAAAAATTATAATATTTACTCATTATACATAGCTCTCCAATTAGATGAACTAGGTTTTTACACCAAAGAAGAAAAAAAAATAATTTGCAAAATAGACAAGCAGTTGTTTTATATAACTTAATAGTAGTAATTCTTCAATTTATGTGCACTTACTGTTTAAAAAAATATTAGCAAAACTAAGTAAATTACCTATTGCTTATAAATTTTATCATGTCTATCTTCAAAACTCCATCTTACAGTCTTAAAATATATCTTGAAAAAAATATGACACTAGCCTTTCTCACCTGGGGAATTGCTTTACATAATAGTTGGAGAGCCTTTCTATTCTTGCTAAGGCTGACATCCAGTATATCATCGAAATAATGCAAATTAAGACTTGCCCTTGGGTAGATACTCACACTTGCGTACGGTTCTATCGACAATGTGTGCAGCTGACTATACAACTCCTTGATCTCACTTAAAGTCAGGAAATGATGCTGCCACTATCGGTCTTCAACCTTGTCAATTGGCTTCTTGAGGTAGACAGGTCTTTAGTGAAGACTTAATAGCCCTGGGTATGCTCAATTGCTTTTTCAATAATTGAAGCTACGTAGTGTCCCGCATAAAAGGTTTTTTGGTAAATAACTTCAGTAGCCTGTGAGTAAACAATGTCACAGTAGGTTATGGAACAGCTACAATCCACACACAAAAGACCTTTAGAAAGAACTGCAATAAGGGGTAAATAATATATATTGCATTAAGTCTAATCAGTTATGTTGTTTGTAATCACAGTTATGCAAATATAAAATCCAATATTGATTCTTTAATTATTATAACTGTTGGAGGCCTGTGCCCAAAAGTGGAATGTATATAGGCTGAAACTTTATTCTACTTTTTATATTGTTTTAATATTTAATATATTTAATGCTGAATATATCAAATTCATTTTATCATAAATGAATTACATACAAGAAAACATTAAATATGGAGTAAGATACTTTATATTTAGTGCCGATAGAGTTGGTACAATTTCAGTAATGTGTTTTTATAAATATTTGTAGCGTCTCGTCATGCTGCTCCTAATGCTCCTCCACCACCATATACGCCACCCAGTGGCCCCTGGTATGCAGCACCACCACCTGCGTATGCACCACCACCACAAGGCTATTACGGCTGGGTTCCTCCTTATAGTGTAAGCATATTATAAATTATTACTCTTTTCTCAGAGTTGTTTTATTAGTCACTGAACAATCTATTGGCTTGTTGCATAAGTCAGTGAATTTTATTTAACATTTTAATAAAAAGTAAAAACTGGCCTAACTTGGTACACTATGTTTTACATAGTGTATTGAAGATTTAAAGCCTCCGACTTCAGAAGCTAATAGGTCGTACCAACCGATATGACTTAGGGATCTTCAAGAAAAGACCCTTTTTACTGGAAAAGAGGCATTCCATCTTAGCCCTCACTGGTGACAATGCTTCTGCATTTTCGAACTTTTTAGAATTTCAATCATAATCACAATCACTACCTATCTTATTTTTGACATTTTTGATAACAACAAAATAATGTTGCCACTTGTCACAATTGTCACCAGGGCTGCCAGACCAAAAAACCCTTTCAGCACTAAACAAGGAGGTTGTAAAATATAGGGAGTGCGCACTAGCTTGCTACATATATATTTATCTATGGTGCGCACTTCATACTAGAGAAATGGTCCTAAATCAGTGACCTTGAAATGAATGAAATGCACCCAGTTAGGCGTTGCATTACTTTCTAATAAAGTGTCCATGATACAATATTTTGAGAATATTATTAGTGTATACAGCATCACGGAAAAAGAAATGCGTATTTTTTTCAATGTGGAAAGTGCTGAAAAGTGTTATATTTAAACTCCGCTTATATTTTGATTACATTATTGCTTTGCTACAGTATAAAACCTTAAGGTAACTAGTGGCGGCGTAGCGTGAAAACAAAAAATGCTATACATGCTAACGGGACTTTATTTTGCTAAAGTATTCTGATATATAATCAAAGTTTACTTTCTTGTCATTTTCGATAGATAAAATGGAAAGATTGGTTAGTTGCGCTTGGCTCATTGTGGACCTTAAGTAAGATTTTATTAACTTGAGTTTTGAAAAGCTTCCTTCATATGAAACTTAATAGTAAAAAAATCTTAGACACAGCGCTAGATTCGGAACAGATTCAAAATAGCCTAATTTTATGAGAAAAGCTCCAATGAATTACATTGAACCGCCAAATGTAAAACCGCCAAAATTAAATATACTGCAGAAAATTCATCGTAGATTTTTGTCAGATTTTGAACTATTATATGAAGATCTTCATCTGGTGACGTTAACAGAGTGTAAGGCTGAACAACACTAAATGTTACGAGAATATCATCCATTGCTCTGTAGTGACGGTCTAGTTCCTCGTAAAATATGTCAAGACATTCTAACACAGCTCTCTACAGCTCTGGTAATATTAGTCCAGCATATTGGGTCATTTCTCTTGGTAAACGTTTTCGATATCTCCTCATTTCTCTTCTTCCTTCAATCGAAATGTCCACATTCTCACATTTTTTGTTACGTAGGATATAACTTTTTCCACTAGTTGAATACGTTAGCTTTGAAGAAAAATTTTTGGGCTTTGATTTTTATCTCATACTTTTCCAGTGATAGATTATTATTATATTATTTAGTATTTGCTTTTGTGTCTAACTAACTTATATTAGGATTTTACACCAACAGGAAAGACAGCATAAAAAAACTGAAGTCACACAAAGCTGGTAAGAGTGTAGATACTGTCTACTTCTTTTGTTTAGACGTTTTCTCTGTTGGTGCTGGGATCATATATATCTTCGAGTGTTTATACTAGTTTTTTTAAATTAATCTGTAATGGTTTAACAACGTCATGATGAGCAATTCATTTTGTCTCTGAGAGTGTTTCGACAGATACGCCTACACTTTTTATTAAAGTTTCCAATTGACGTGTGGATGATGAAAAGAACCTGTAAACTCTTTCTACTGTTCCGAAAAAAAGTAATACTTGAATTAACGCTCCCTAAGTGAGTGCACTCCACATAGATTTAGCGAATGATTAGCACAAGGCGTTTTCTACGTGGTAGAGCCATGCTGCAGCTATATAAATAGTATAGTTGTAGCACAAATGGGTTTACTCGATCGGGGAAGAACCACGCACTCACAGAATACCAGCGTAAAATAGCAGCTCAACATGATGTATTTCGTATGGTGAGTGTAGAGAACTGGAGACCCTTTTTACTGGAAAAGAGGCATTCCATCTTAGCCCTCACTGGTGACAATGCTTCTACATTTTGATTGGCAAACGAGATTAAATGTAGATGTCTATGGGCCACAGCAATCACTTACCATCAGGTGGACTGTGTGCTCGTTTGTCACCCTATCCTATAAAAAAAGTATACTCCTTTCTAAAAGGCTACCAAAGCATCTGCAATTCCTTTGGTGTTGCAGTTGTTCACAGGTGACGATAGTCACTTGCCATTGGGTGATACGCAAACACATTTGCCACTTATATAAAAAAAAAATTTTATTCTTTTCATTTCTAAGATGTTTGTTTTTACTTTTTATTAAGAGTTATATTTCGACCTTTTTGTGTGAAGTTTAAAGTAACAACTAGAATGTTGTCTTAATATTAATGTTAAAAACTGAATCCCCTATTTTCCACCTTAAGGGGTGTAATTTTTTATTCGAATTTGAATGGGACCACCCATGAACTATTTAGTAAAAAATATAATTAAAATTGGTTTACCAGCCAGGACGTCGCGTAATATAACATAACATACAAAAAACCATGCAGTTGAATCTAGAACTTCGTTTTGTGAAAGACGTATATCTATTGGCGCAAAATCCGTTGAGTAAGGGGAGGTGTTGTAATTTATTTATTTATTTTGTAGGATCACCAACAAAGTACAATATACTCTAAATTATATCGACCACTGCTTATATTTCCCAGCTGAATTCTAATGTGATCTTTATCCTAATTATGCTTGGTATGAACTTGATTATGCTGTGGACTATTTTTCTTAATGTTTTTCACAAAACGCTGTAACTATTTAGTGTACTGTGTAAGCATTATCATAGTCTAATTTATAAGTTGCAACTAAACATGATAACACCTTTAGCATTCCACCAAACAATTTAACTGTTACTTAAATGTGACATGGTTTGGAGGTTTTGTAGTTTTGCATAACTAGTTTATCCAACCTGCTTGTAGTTCTGCACTTTATCAACAAATTAATTTTCATACTTTTGGTAATGTAGCTAAATGTCGAGTTATAGTGGTGATCTTCTGATTCAACTCTTCAACAAGCTGAAGTAATTTGTCATCGTATACCTAGGGCTATCTTGCTATTGCTTATAATTCCCTATGTACATTGTCCTTTAGCTTAATACATTTTCAGGAAAGCTTGACATATTTACTTAAAAAATGCACTGACATAAGAGCCAGAACGGAATTTGTAAAGTATGCAGCAATGTAATTAGCAGCAGCGTAATATTAAAATTATCATGGCAAACACTAAACAGGACTACACAATAAACTTCAGACACTAACTGATTCATATGTGCGAACTTATAATTATACACCATTGAAAGTATGGCTTATATCTTATTGTGCAAAAAGATATAAGCGTGTTAATGTATGCAACATGCCAATAAATTATTAATCCCACATTGTTTAGCAAATCTGTTATATGGGATATTTTTTATGCTATGGTATTGCTGTTGAAGTTTCCTTTTCACTTCAATTTAAATAAAAAAATAAAACTGTAATAAACTTGTTGGCATATACTACTTTTAACAACTTTACAACTCTGAATTGTAAATAAGTTGTAAGAAAAAGGCTTATTTTAATTTTATTATTTTAGGCATTCCCCGATCAGCCAGCACCAAACTCTGTGTTTGTGACGAACAGCCCCCCGCCATATCCTGGAGTAGCTGGTGCAAATTATCCCACTGGTCCTGGTTTTTCGGGAGCTGGCAGTCCTTCAGCTCCACCACCAGGATATCCGGGTAATCCTGGCGCTTTACCTCCCAGCTATCCAGGCAATGCAAGTGCTCCACCTCCAGGATATCCAGGTGGCTTTGCGGCGCCAGGGGCGCCTTCTGGCATGTCGTCACGTGGTGAGTTAATTCAGACAACGGAAACAACATATTTTTTTATATTTGAATTTTTAAATTTGAAATTAAAATTTTGGTGTTTTGCTACTTTGTATTTTAAATGTAAATTTTTATATTTTATCTTGTAAGGTAAAATTTACATGTAAATGTTGGTTGTCATTGCTGTATTAAGTAGCATAAATATATATATATTAAAATGATTGAATAATAAATATTTTAATTATTGTTTAATGTGTACATATATGTATATTTTTTTAGCTATTTGAGAGTAGATTTGCAATAGATCAAATAATTATTTCAGATGCCAAAGCTGCAGAGGCAGCTCAAAGTGCATACTATGACCCAAATCGCCCACAGACAGCATATGTCCCACCTCCATACAATGTAAGTACACTTTTAGTAAATTATTTGGATATGCTTTTTATACTTTAATTTTGGTAATTTGTTGTTTGACGTAATACCATAAAACTATTCTAAAGATACCTACATAGTATATAGTCATAATTATAATATAGTATATAGTCATAATTATAATTAGTTATCTAAGGAATAACTAAACGAGGTTTAAATATAATATGTTGTTTTATTTATATATTTTTTCAGCCCAACTAGGTGAGAAAGCTATATAAATACCCCAAAATAATAATAATATCCACCAGACCGAATTTTCCATCACGGTGGCCAGTCTCAATGGAGACTATCCATCTGCACAGGATAGGATTATAGTGCCCGAGCGTATACGCAAGCAAAGGTGTGGTGGTGGTTCTTCTCCTTGAGGAGGTTTTCATGTTTCGAGGAGGCCCTCTTTACATGGGCTTATGGACAAGATCCCACGGTCCTGAGAGCTGCGTTGGCAGCTTTTTGGTTGGTGTGCTGCGCAGTCACCATCCAATCAGGTGTCGGGACGCTCACTCGCCCCTGGCGTCCCCTGGCGGTGAGCGTAGGAGTTCACGTTGGAGTGGACGCCCGTCAGGTAGGCGCGCATGGAGTAGTGCTAAATTCTGAAGGTGTGGGTGTGGCCCGTTATCTGCGAGGTCGAACAACGGTCTCGCAGTACGGGCTACGAATTCTTGGATGGTCTCGATCTTAAGATCTCTCGATATAACGTATTTCCTGACGTAATGGCCAGATCCCAAGAGTATCTGAAGAAGAATTTTGCTGGGCTTGCAACCTCCTACGCTGAGTGGCTGAGGTCAACGCGTACCAGGCTGGTGCTGCGTCGGTCAGCCGCGAGCGGACGTAGGTTTTGTAGATGCCGATTTTGGTTTTTGTTGGAAGTTTGGATGCCCGTATAGGGTATAATTTCGCTCGCGCAGCTCTGGCCTGTCTCACAATGTGATCGACCATCAGGGTCATGCGCAGCGAGCGATCTATATGGCATTCTAGGTAAGTGATGGTTCTACTCCAAACTACATCCTGCCCGCGGAGTTGCAGAGTTGGTGGTGTTCTAGTCAGCCTGGTCATGGAGGCGGTGGTCTTCTCGACGTTGACCGTCAGCCTCCATTTGTTCAGCCACTCAGGCAACAGGTCGAGTAGCCGCTACAACTTCCTGGCAGCTATTTCAACCCAACGAGATGACACGAAGTACGCACTGTCGTCAGCATACAAGGCTAATACGACATCTTCTTCCCACTCTTCCAGATGGCCTTGGAGTGTGGGGATGTCGTTTTTGTAAACCGCGTACAGGAGCGGTGATAGGCAGCTGCCCTGTGGCACTGCCATTATGATTGGCGGGGATTGAATACTGGTACCAATTTCGGTTCTGGTTATTAATTTAGGTTCTTATAAAGGTTCCTCTTTTCGTTACGGTTCCAGTTCCGGTATCGGTTCCGGTTTGGCTTCAGATGTACCAATTCTAAATACCGGTTCCGAGAACCTTTATATCGGATGATATACCTTTGTATAGGTTCCTTGTCACCCCGATTAAAAAATTCTTTATAGAAGAGGGGATGCGTTGGCATACCATGCCTTTTCTTTTAGTTCGCCTTCGTCCGTAGTATTAGAGGATACTATACTATTACTATACTATAGAATTTCTGTTCTGTTCTTTTCAACAACATCTTCTTGATAACAGCTGAATAAAAAAAACTACGATTACCCACCTGCTTGCCAAGTGTGCCAACTATGGCAATTATGTTTATCAGTAGACCTTTGATAAACTGTAATGGTAATTATGGAAAGTGATATCTTGCGAATTTATGCTTTTCAGGATCAGCCGCCAACTTATCAGGAATCTATGTCGAAGAAAGAAAATTAATGCATTGTCCTCACTTTCACATGCCCGCACCTCGCTAATCATTAATCACTATGATGATTTAGTCATATTTAATTAACGGCGACATTTTGGCAATCATTTTATTTTCTTGTCAACATTCCTTTTCTTCGCTTTCAAGCGTGTTATATGTGATGTGTAAAAAACCTTTAAATAGTATTAAAACTTATTAGTTATGTATAGAAATGTTTATAAAATGTATATTTTTAAATTTCATACTTAATTATTGCTTTGTACCGATAATTTATTGAAAAGCATTATTTTTAATATTGTGTGGGGAGTAGAATAAATAACTTTATTTAAAATAGCACTCCTCTGATTTGTAAAACAATAATATCAATGTTAATACCTGTTATATCTATTACATTGCAAATAAAATTTAAACATAAATAGTTTTTTTCTTCAATTTTAAGCACATGACATTATAGTACTATGCAATAAATTAATTCAAAATATTCAGAATTAATTTATTACTAACGACCCGCCCCGGCTTTCCTGGATGACACCTATCTATTTATGTTATCTCTATACATATATAAAAATCAATTGCTGTCCGTTAGTCTCGCTAAAACTGAAAAACGGCTTGACCGATTTTGATGATTTTTTTGTGTGTTTGAATGGGTTATGCTAGTTTATATGGTTTAGATTCACATTTGGATCCGGTAGGTAGCACTGTTGTAGAGATTCAGAAATCACCCGTGCGAAGCAGTGGCGGATCGCTAGTATATATGTACTATATAAAACTTAATTTAAGTTTGTAATTCTGTATAGAAAACTTTAATGAGTCACAGTTCACACACAGTCACAGTTGAGGAATACAAAGTCATTGAGAGGTCTGCTTCCAAGACCCTTTTAACATTGTAGCTAACGACAGAACAAGAACAAGTGATTTAATAGGACTCCTTAATATTCCTCCTGGGCTCCTGAATTTTATAATATAATATTTTGAATTGCAACCAAATTATTTTTGTTTGGAAATAATTACAAAAGCTTGTACTGCTCGATTCACAAACTTTACATTAATACTGTGGTCGAAAATTGCATTAAGAAAAATAAGTTTTCTTTTCAATTTCTTTGCAATAGAATCCGCTAAAAGTTTTCATTTTTCCAATTGCCTCTGGCTAGTATTTCATCCAAAGAATGATTTTCTATCCAGCTTGCTGAAGCCCGCAGCTGATTTAAATGATCAAGTTGTAAAGATTCCTGCTTCCTTTAAAACAAAACATGGCCAGTCACCGACTACAGTCCTAGTGGCGGCTCGGGATTTACCAATTATAGCTATAAACAAACTGTCAAATTGATCCTGGTTTATCTTCTTATGAGAAAGTTACTAAAAATCTGCTTCATTATTAGGTATTCACTTTGCAAAATATAAGTATGGTAGATTTATGCACTAATATAGTACTGTAGGCCAGTTTCACTTTTAAATGCAAGTAGGCTAATAACATATGAACTGTTGTAGCTCAGGATTTCGGCAGTCAACTTTATTAGCTTCACACCACTGTTGCCATCCCCTAATAACCGGATAGTTTTTTTATAGGATAGGGTGACAAACGAGCACACAGCCCACCTGATGGTAAGTGGTTGCTGTGACCCATAGACATCCACATCTATCCTCAATAAAGAATCAAAATGCAGATGCGTTGTCACCCGTGAGGACTAAGATGGAATGCCTCTTTTCCAGTAAAAAGGGTATCCGGTTCTCTACACTCAACATACGAAACACAGCAAGCAGTGTTAAGCTGCTATTTTACGCTGGTATTCTGTGAGAGCGTGGTCCTTCCTTAGTCGAGCCGGCCCATTCGTGCTACAACTATACTACTAATATAGCTGCAGCATGGCTCTACCACATACAAAAGTAAGTGCCTAAAGTAGATTGGCTCCAACTATTGCTTAGTTGTTTTTCTTTTTCAGAGCAGTAGCTTATTTGTTATCCCCACTGACCAAACCTGCAAATTCAGTTGGTCCACCTTGAGCTGGAGACGGTGGACTGATACAGGCATTTAAATTTATAGGGACACTAATGCTAGTGTCTCGTGACCAAACCTGTAGATTCAGTTAGTCCACCTTGAGCTGGAGACACTGGACTGACAGGCATTCAAATTTATAGAGACACTAATTTAGGATAATCGAGATCTACTCAGTCTAGTTAGGCATCTATAAAGGAGTCAGGCAGAGTTGTGTAGCTTCCTCGTAACTGTACAATCTGATTATAGACAGTTGTTTGAAAACTTTGACAAGTAAATAAGAAGCGATTTTTTAAATTTTGTTTAAAAAAATTAATATACCACGTCTTTGATATTCTTGCATTGTCATTCGAATTCGAGCTATATTGAAAATTTCAAGTTTCCAGCACATGGGAAAGTTAGTTTAAAATCAATTACTAAATTCCACCCGGAACGACAGACAAACAAGAAAGTGACTTATTAAAAACGTGGTAAAAAATATGGATTAAGACTGGGTGGAAGTTATATTTGCGTTGTCGGCGGACGACTTGCAAGTGATAGGACCCGTAATCGCGTATGGCTTCTTCGTTCTTTAGGTGTGTGCGTGTTTGTACTAATTGCTAGCTTTGCTGTGCATGAGCTAGTTTATAATATACAGTTATAAACTATTGTCTATACAAATAAATAAATTTTAAGTGTCTTTTTATAGGGTCAAAATAACAGCTTTTTACTAAATGCATATGAAAGTATATACGGTATTTATAACTGTAGCGGGTGTGAAGTCTGTTGTTGTGTGTACAGTAGCGGGCGTACAGGTCCTGCACTTATTACACTAACACATTTATTGTACAGAAATATAAAGTCACACCAACAACTTTATAGTCATAAGGAGGAAGCCAAAGCGACAATCTCTTTCCGTTGTAGTGCATAACTGACTGTTAGCTTGCTACATATCTATTTATCTATGCGACTGATCAAGGATCAAGGAGGCGGTGCACTTGGACCGATTACCTCTTATATGGTAATATATTGATAATACCACCGCCACCTATGAGCGTCGGACAACTGGTAAATATGGTGTTGTGTTAGTAGTTTAAAATGTAGTTTGTTAAATGCACGCGCACGCGCGCGTCTCTGTGCGTGCGTGCGTGCGTGCGTGTGTGGGAATGTATGTTTGTGTTATATATTATGTGTGAGTTGCAAGTTCCATACATAACAAAAAACGTATCTTAAATTTTTTGTCTGTCTATCTGTTTGTTCCGGACATCTCCAAAATGGCTGGACCTATTTTGACAGGACTTGCCAGATAGCTGATGCTATAAGAATTAACTTAGGCTACTTTTATTTTCGATAAAGTATTAGGGTTCCTCGCAAAACTATTAAAACCCATGAAATCCTATCGTAATAAATTAAACTTGGACGAAGTTACGGGGAACAGCTAGTCCGTAATAAATATTCAATTCTTATTTACATTGACCCACTTTATTAAAAATTATGATTATTTTATTAAAGTGGGTTAAATTATAATTTTAATAATAAAAATTCAATGGATATATTCCGAATATATATATATATATATATATATATATATATATATATATATATATATATATAAATTCTGTCCTTTTTATCTTTTAAATTCAAAATGAGTGGTAATGCATTATTTTAACTGATTTTCATTCATAAATATCTAACGCTACTATTTTACTACGCACACACACATTCGTAAGGGTCGATCGTTCGGCAAAAACGTTGCGAATTAATTCGCATACAGAGAAGCGCGCGTACTCTTAGTTGTTTCCCATAAATCACATTCTATTTGGGATAATTTCAAATAAAAGTAGAAGTCTTATTTACTCGTATTTATAACGGTATATCATTATAAATGTATTTTAACTTAAGTTTATTTGGCTACTCTGAAACATAATCCTGTAAATATATCGTCGAAAGAAAAATTATCTTACCAGACCCGGGTAGGATCAAATGATCGATCGACACAAGCATAATGCGAAATAAGAATAGAAGAAGAAAAGAAAGAGCTTGTGAATTTAAGATGTCTGTTAAGCAGGGATGGTAGACACGACAAGTAGGTATATAAAACGAAAAGAAAGCAGGAAACAGGCTCTTCATTGTATCTCGGGAAGATAGAATGTGTCAACAAAGGCATGTACGTGGCTTCACAATGCTGTTAGTCCCTACCTTGTATAGTAGTGTAAGTTGATGTGGCAGAAGAAGCATGAGAGTAAAACTAATGCTGTAGAAATGCGGTCATTAAGTACAGGTACCTACTTCTTAAGGGGTAACTAAATAATAGGGCGAGAAATCTTGTGATAAGAGAAGTGTGGTTTGCAAGTTGATGTTGTAACTAGGATTAGTAAAGAATGCTTAGGTATTTTGGACACGTAGAAAGAGTGACAAATTAAATTATGCTGGTGAGTGACATAGTCGGCAAAGGTCACCATAGACAAGCTTATCGAGCAAATTGCAGATATATTGAATACTAGTTGTTTTTTTTTTCGCCGAACTCTAATTCTTTTTCTAAAATAAAAGTAGCCTAAGTTACTTTTTATAACATCAGCTACCTGCCAGTGAAAGTCCCGTTTAAATCGGTCCAGCCGTTTCGGAGATGAGCCGCAACAAGCAGACACAAAAAACGTGTGTGTGTACACACGTAAGAAGTTATACTTCTTTAGCGTAACAAAACAAAAATAACTACCTTGAATATAGTTATCAGTTCTCCCGCTTGACAGTTGACAGACAATTACCAACTGAAGTTGTCGCTTTTAGGTTTCGGTGTGCGCGCGCATCGTAAGAATAAAATAGAATAGAATAATTTTTTATTCAATATACATTACATGTGTAATTCTTATTGAAAGTCATTTTTTACTTTACCACTGGTTCGAAGAAAAAAACCTCTGTCCTGGGAAGAACCAGCAAGAAACCCAGCGTGACTTTCTCTTAAATAAATTTTACAAAATTAACTATTTACAAAATTAATTTTAGAAACTGCTTGGAAGCGACGTAACAACTTCATGGTGT